TAATAATAATAATGAACAACTATATACCAGAGACATTTTACAGGGGTGGGGTGGGAAATGGGATCAAAAATGGGGGTGGGGTAGAGTGCACTGGACTATGGTTACAGCACACAGGTGATATGGTGATGGGAAGCCCATGGGGATTACAACTGAGATGAAAAAAGGCACAAAATGATGTAAAAACAAACTACTAGTATAATAAAAAGAAATGGTGTATATTAATCATGTTTTAATTTCCTATATGATTGTAGGGTAAATGAATTAATCAAGCTTTTTGTGCTACTAGCCTCTGTGGTTGTCACCCGTGGCCTTGATGGTGTTAAGGCGGCGCTTGGGAGTGTGGGCAGGTGGACCATGTGTGTGCACATGTGTAGGTGCGCACACCTGAGCCTGGAGGCCAGGGCTATAAGGGCAGCGTCACTCAGCTGGATGACAGCTATGAGAAGAATGAGCGGTGTGACTACAGAAGAGGGAGACCCTGAGAGAATGCCAGAGGGCCCAGAGAGAGTCAGGATTTGTGGGGGGCTGGGGAGGTTCTTCTGGCCTGTGCTTGCCTCCTTGCATTCCAGCCTCCATGCCTGGTGTGCTGTATATGTGGTTTCCTGAGAGCATTAAAACGTGAAAAACCCACTAAAGGCACTGGGACCCTCCTTTATTGTCTGACCGAGTTCATAGTGAGCCTACCCTGTGCTTGCTGACATAATAGAGACCTTAGCACATCTGTATGTATGTGCAAAACGTCACTCTAGAGGCAGAGTTTACTAATGCAAGCCTACCAGGAGGGCTGCAATCGCAGTGGCATGTACCCATGCCAGGGCTGCTGTGAACAACCCTGTGGAGTGCTACACCATTCTAACACTTACTATTATCATGCTTTTAAATCCTCTAACATCCATTAGTAAAAGATACTAAAGGTCTGATAATGTACTTGAAAGTCAGTAAGTAACTTCACAACTGAAGGCCAAACAACTGCCTAATGCCTGTTAATCTGTGGGAGAATGTCCTCATTTCATTCTGCCTTCCAAATTCACCATGTATCCCAGTGGAATGCCTTTCAAAACGTAGAGTTGGAGCACAGAACTAAGATTTGAGCCCCAAATACGAAAATATTTGTGGGAGGTGAAATTTGATCTTCTGTAAATCTAAACCCAAACATTATTGTACATAGTATATAGTGACTGATCATATGGATAACACAGATTTAAAATATTTTCCTTCCATAAAAGCAGTATTACTGTAAATGTAACTAAAATGTGAGAGCATAATGTAGGTTGTTCTGTTTGCCTAGAGGGGATTCTAGCAATGTTTATACCCAGGAATGTTGGACTCTGTTTATGAAATATCTTTCTTTAGACACAGTGTAAAGCACCTTGTAATGTACACAAAGGAATTTCAGATTCTGTAGTTTCTTGTGAAAAAAACAAACAAACAAAAAAAAACCAACAACTAAACTCTAAGCATGCTCTTCATTGAGGTAATACCAGATCATAACACTGATTTGGAGATGCGGGATCACATCCTTCAGGTGTTATCACACCTTTGAGCCTGTTCTTCTCCTTCAGATCAAGCGCTGGCAGCAAACTGTCCAAATAACCTAAAATGGAACAATCCAGGGTGTTCACAGCATCAGCAAAGGGAATAGATTAACTTATGGGTCAAACCTCTCCCCACCACCAATGAATATAACTCCTCCCTTGAGTATGGGCAGAACCAGTGCAAAATGGCAAAGATGATGGGATAGTCCCTCCTGTGGTTGTTACATTTTCTGCAACTCTACCTGAGAATATGGGAGTTGTCACTGGTCAGTGACAATCATCTATGACTTTACATAACCAGACCTTCCATGGGCAGGTGGTAGGGAAGAGCAGATGGCCTCTTGAAGCCGAAAGCAACTTCCAGTTGACAGCCAGCAAGAAAACAGGGCCCTCAGTCCTATAGCTGCAAGGAACTGAATTCTGGCCACAACCCCGTAAGAAAGAAGCGGACCCCAAGCCCCAGAGAGGAACACAGCCTGGCTGACACCTTTACTACAGGCTGTGAGACACTGAACAGAGACCCAGTTCAGATGTGCCTAGACTTGATCCATGGAAACTGGAATCACAATGCATTTTGTTTAGAGTTGCTAGGTCTGTTACAGTGAGTTACACAGTAATAGCTGATATAACTTAATAGATGCTAAGTCAGTGAACAGGGGTTGTGTGGAGAAAAAATTTGGTCTGTGCTGGTACCACTAGCAAGTGTATGACACATTCTGACCACTGCCTGCTTCCATAAACTTCAACCCCTCACAAAGGATTTGAGGCTTTTCATCAGCTTTTCTGACCTTGTAACTACTTTAATGCACAAGTATGTGCATTAAAAAAATTATTAATGTGTGTAAAGAAGAAAAATTCCAATAAATGAGATAACTCCTCTGAAAACGAGACTTTAGACATTCTTCTAAATTAAAAAAAAAAATTAAAAGCCTAAACTGTGGATCTTTTAAAAGTAAATGTTAACAATATGTAGCAAGATTATTGAGACTCATATAGAATCATGCCAGAAAATAAAAATACAGAGTTTTATCCCTCTCCAACTCATTTATTCAATATTTATAGGAGGAGCTATTATCGCTGGTGACTACTGGGAGACAGAAAGCCACTTGTTCTGCTTTACATCAACAGCCTATTATAGCTCCTAATTTCTGCCTTAATTTACTTTTCCAAATTATGGAACAATCTGCCTTCCTTAACAAGACATCACCAAGGAATCTGATTTAGAGATCTAGCTCCTGCAGAGTCAAGACACTCCTTGCAAAAGATCCCATGAGAGCAACGATTCTAATACCTCTAACACAGGTGACCAAAATCCCCTTATTCTCTTTACTAGGGCTTTTTTAGCTACCTAAGTAGTGAATAATATCATGCACCTCTTGGAGACAGACTTAGGAATAAATAAAATTTGGGAAGCCATGTTTCCTACCCTGAGGAAATAAAACCTCAATAGAGAGTCTAGAAATTCACAGGAGGTGCTGAGCTCCAGAAAGGAACATAGCCGAGAAGCTGGATGCCCATGGCATTTCACAAGGTTCTTTGTAAGAGTGAAACGGGGCAGAATCACTCTGAATAGGTAAACAGATGTCATCATGGGCACAAACCAAACTTTTAGGTTAAACTAGAAACAACAACAAAAACAGTTAAGTAAATGGGGAATGGGAACATGTATAAATGTCCAAGTTCAAGTTCAACCCTGAAAATGATTACAGTAATTTAAGCAAAAGGAAGTCTTGGATGAAGAGCTAGTTTTTGGAGTCAGGGGAAGTCTTCAAAATGACAGAATGAATCTGTATGATTCTAATGGAGAATAACCTTAAATGGAATAAATTTAAGGCTGTGAAAAGCTCATAATTATTTCCTAATTTGTCCACAGATTGGTCATGATCAGCACTATTGCTTAATTTCTTACCCAAAACCACAACTTCTGGTCTCTCTCCTGATCTGAAAGGTGAGATGGTTCCTCACTGCCTGTTTCCATAAACTTCAACCCCTCACAAAGCATTTGAGGTTTTTCATCAGCTTTTCTGACCTCCTAACTACTTTGGACTAGGGGAGGTCTGCTCCTCTTACAAGTCTAAGACCCCAGTAGACTGGCCGGTTCCACCCTGGTTCCACTACTTCCTTCTTGCTCCTTCAACACATTTACTATTGCTGGCCTGTGCAAGACGAAAGCCTCAACTTCCTCATTTTGGGAACTCCAGGCCAGCATGATAATTGGCACACTAGCTGAGCAAAGGCATCTTGAACTAAACTGAAGAAAAGGTAGAAGAAGCTAGAGATGTCAAATTGGCAGAGAGCAGAGAATTTAACGTCCCCAGACTTAACTGGGGCAAGCAGAGAAGTAAAAAACCCAGCCTGAGTACTGCTGGAATCCACAGTCAAGGAAGGGAGCAGAAGCTGCCAGCATAAAGCGCAGCAGTTCAGAGCTGAGCACGCAGTGGGCACTCCTCCACTCTAGGGATGGAGAGTGTGCTGAAAAGCTTAAAAGTGCTGCATGAGAAGAGAGAAATAAGGTCAAAAGGATAATAGCCAAAACCCATCATATCTGAGCAGGAGGAAGTTATGAACAAAGGAGAAAGCTGCTTTAGTTTGGAGTAACAGTAGGAGCCATTGTGTCACTGAGGGGACAGGAAAGGGGCTCACTCTGAAAGATAAAACATTTCTGAAGATTACATGATTGAGAGAAGCTATTGACTATTGTTCTTTCTTCTGGTCCAAACACCCTAGAGAGATCAGGGTACCTTGAGAAGTTCTCAGGCAAGTAGCGGAGCAAACGGAATGCTCTCTCCTTGTTTGACAAGGATGTTAAGGCCATGACTGAGCAGCGGTTGAGGCAGGGAGTTATTCCACTCTAGTTCCCTTTCAGGGTCATTCCTTCCACTCAAGTCTGATGGGACCACAATGTATACTTTCATGTTTATGCCCTCCACACACACGTTTGTTGTCACCCTAAAATTCCATGCCTTCTTTCTCTGGATAAAGCCTCAAGTCTGGATCACAATTAGTTCTTTGCTCTCATCCCCTGCTCTGATTTCAGCTGATTCTAGGGGCCTAACATCCATACTCTACAAGCTCTCAGTTCGCTCACATGACATGGCACAAAATTAAGACTTAGTGGTGGCACAGCAGGTTACACATAGCACTAAGCAGCTAAAGCCACTACAGCATGAGTTCGATCCCTGCCCCAGAGGAGATCCACATGGC